AAAAGGAACGGAGAACGAACGGGACCTAGTCTTCATATGTTACCATTACTTTCAACAAAAGCACTCACTGTCGCATTGAAATTCCTAGTTAATTTCAACTTTTAAAAACATGTCGATTACTCCTCTTTTGTTCTTCTTTTGTTATGCTGCACAACGTGTACGAATTTATAGTATCTGTTCTTTTAAATCGCTAACTTTCCTGTTGTAAATGTTAGTGCATGTCCTGAACGGTTCTTCTCTTGTAGAAGTTATTGATGCGTATTATAACCACAACATTGTACCGATGAGTAATCAACGATATCAATGATCAGTGACATCAGTGTCTAATTAATGGAATCAATGACAAATCCATGGCTGAAAAATTTGCGCCCTACGATATATCAATTACTTTCTGATTGCTCACTGATCGACGATTTATTTAACAATTTTTCCGCGAGCGCGCGCTGGATATGAGATGGTGGGTACCTCGATAGCCAATGAGGCACGTTGTGCCGAGATGGCTATAATCATCTCAAGCATGAGTGGAATAATTAAAACGCCTCAAAATATAGAAAACAAACATAATAACAAAAACCCCCGCAAAATGTACGCATACGCTTACCATATTTTTGTAGAGCATGGTATCATGGCTCATATAACATGATGGTTAAGCCAATGAATACTTTTGAATTGCATTATCCAATGATCCAGTTTTTAGTAATACCCGAAAGAAATGACAAAGCAACTGATTCCCAATCGAGGTTTCGTTGATAACATTGATTTACTGCATTACTTTTCTTCTTTCAGCTACAACAGTTCTGAGGCTGTAAAAACACTGATGGAGTACAACGCAGACCCGTCTTTGAAAGACGCTGACGGTGCTACGCCGCTTCATTTCGCAGCTCGTCACGGCTGTGTAGAAACGTCCACGCTTATGCTCAGTAATAGTCTATCATCTGTTAACTGTCCAGATAACAGTGGTATGACACCGTTCCATTTGGCTTGCGCGCACGGCAGTCTCGAGCTGTGCGAATTGTTCTTGGAGCACAGAGCAGATATTCGCGCGCGGACCGTGGAAGAGAAAAGTCCGTTGCATCTGGCTGCCTTGCACGGAAACAAAGATGTCGTACAGCTTTTAATCAAGGAAGGTTGGTTCAAGAAGGGTATTTTCTAGATTCCTCTGCACTCTCTATAGTTGTTAATTCCGACATCCAATAAGAAACGCTGATAAGATGCCATGTACAGGCGCGTAGTAGTGTAGGTCACATCAAGCTCTTCCCTCAGCTTCACTAAAGTATCTTTGCTTCTTCGTGTCGTTCCAGCATCCCTTGAATTCGAGAATGCCTCATACTTCATCGACGCTCCCGATTTTGAAGAAAACACCGCCCTCCATTTGGCATGTCATAAAGGTTACAAGGAAATTGCAGAGCTTCTGCTGAGCCAGGGAACTGACTTGGTGGATGGGAAGACACACTGTGGCCGACACACGCCCTTGCATCTTGCGGCTGCCTACGGACACGTGGACGTGGTTGAGTTGCTGATGTCTCACGGTGCACCAGTTGATTGCAGGGACGAGCTGCAGAGGACTCCACTTCTAAGGTGACAGAATCTTACTAATATATTTGTGAGATATATATTTGTTCTCGTTCCTGCGGGAACTCTCCTAAAGATGGTCAAGTGACTTTAAATAAGACTTTTAACGTCGACTCTGTTGAAGTTCAATTCCAGTCTATTGCGAAATCGGTCCTACCCTACTGTCTTCGGAATGTCTGTTGGGGCGCAAGCCGCTCGCACCTTTTTTCCCCAACTTTCTTCCGACTCTTTTTTTTGTTTGTTTTTTTGGTTTTTTGGTTTTGTTCCTCACACGAAGAAGGACAAGAACGACTACTGTGGTCTAGGAGAACCTGCTTATTCATCAAACTTGCAGTTTAGTCAAGTGAATTTATCAGAAACAAATCAATTATTTTTCATCTTCAGAGCCGCGGAGTTCGACCGTGTAGATACAGTGAAATATTTGCTAAATAATGGAGCGGACATCGAAGCCAAGGACAACGAGAATCGTACTGCGTTCAATTTGGCAGTGAAACGAGGCAGGACGAAAACTGCTGAGCTGCTCCTGGAGTCTGGAGCTGAAATGAAGTCACGTGACGCTTCTCGTAGGACTTGTATACACCTTGCAGTGATGCACGAGCGGTTGGAAACTTTGCGCATGCTCCTCAATCGGGAACAAGGACAATTAATAAATGAGACAGACAAGGATTTACGAACCCCACTGCATTATGCTGCAAGTTTAGGAAGTCTTAAGGTAAAGCTGAAGTTCCATTTGCATTAAGGTACCCTTGCAATTACTTTTTTGTAAACGGGTTGGGTCAGTTAACCACAGAAATTAAAGGTAAGCTTCTGAGGTTTGGCCTTAACGCCTAACATCTGACAAATAGAATTACCACTTGATTGCAACATGTTGTAGTTATGCAAAGCATCACGTCATTGCGTTAATTTACAACTGGAGTAAGCACACTCTCTAATTATGAACATTTTTGGTGACTAAAGAATGAGGACTCTCCGTATAATGTACAAGATTGGCGATTTTACAGTATAAAACACAATGAATACGTTTGTTAACATGACGAGCCCTCATTCAATAGTCACCGAAAAAAGTTATAAATACTGTCACGTGTGCATGGCTCGGATGTCTTCGCAGTAACACAACCATTCCTTAAGAGTACTAATATTAATTAGAAAACAGTACTAAGAAAATACGCGTGCTGATTGGTTAAAAATCGTGTTTCTATAACTCGATGGAAACACGGAACTAGCACGAGCTGTCAATGTAATGATGGCGCGAGTAAGGAGAATTTACATTTTGATAATTAAAGTTAACAAGTTGTTTTCCTTTTTTTCGCCGCGGTGTTTTCTAAAAGAAATAGAGAACATGTTCTCCGTGTTTCTATCGAGTTATAGAAACACTCGTGAAAGTTTGGGAGAACTCGAAAAAGCTGTGGGCGGCTCGTGTTTCCACAGCATTTCTCGTTCCCCCAAAACTTCCACTCGTGTTTTTATAACTCGATAGAAACACGGTACATGTTTTCTATTTCTTAATTAAAACCTCGTTTGCGCTCAGTGAAGATAATTAATATTCTAACCTGTTTAGTGAATTAAGTTGTTAACTTTGTTCATAAACTTTTCCATCAGATTCTTCAACTACTGCTGGAGAAGATGTGCATTGTGGCTCCCAAAGATGTGTTTGGCAGGTGCCCACTGCATGCCGCTGCAGAAAACGGTCACGTGACCTGTGTAGAGCAGCTCTGTGTTTCTGAACCTGGGCATGTTAATGACAGAGATGAACGCGGGCTCACTCCTCTTCACCTGGCAGCACGTGGAAGCCACAGGTGTGTTGCTAGAATGACAAGAAAATGTGCACTGCATCTCAGGGTCTTATTTTTCTCAGCTCTCTTCTCGCGAGGAATGTAGAGTGTTTTGGTAGAGATAATTATCTAGTAACTCCACCCCCCTCCCCCGCCACCATTGAAGGAGTAAAGACTTTCCTTTGTTCAGTCGGCGCGGCGTCTTCCCGTTGGTCAGCCCGACCTCTTTATATACAGCAGATTGAAAATGCTTTCGTTATTAGCGGATTACGAGTAGGTTATTCACATTAAAACAATAAGCGTACGCATGAATTTCTAGGGCGTTTTTAGTCTTATTTTAGTGGAGTTTAATTTCTCTATTTTAGGGCGTTTTTAATAAAACAGTTATTCCACTCACGCTTGTTGGATATGAGATTGTTACACCATCTCATATCCAACGCGCGCTCGTTGAATATTTGTTAAATAGTACATGGTAAAACAAAACCCAAGAAATTTCAGGTAGCTTTCGACAAATTAGTTGAAACCGTTTCAAACTTTATTTGTGCATGCTTACGTCAAACGAGCAATTTGCTTTGCTTCAGTTTGCATTACTTGTTCGTGGGAATTCACTAAATTCAAATTTGCCCAACGCCTCTAAATTCACTTTCGTTAAGTTTACATTGCACGTGCAAATTCATTTAGGCTTATCATTGTCTTTCTTCTGTCGACAGGAAAACGTGTATTTTACTATTGAGCATGGGTGCGAACCCCATTATTCGAGACAGTAACCGCTGGACAGCACTGCACCATTGTGCGGCTGGCGGATGCATCAGCACTGCTGAGATTTTGCTCGTGAATCACTCCATGCGCCTGATGGAAGCAGCTGATCAAGAAGGCAACACTGCCCTTCACGTGGCTGCGAAATACGGTCACGAGGGCATTGTAGAGCTTATTCTATCACGTGGTGGTGACATTAAAGCACGTAATAAGAAGAGGTTGACGTGTTTGGATGTAGCTATTGAGTTTGGCAAGGAAAAGGTCGCCGAGGTTCTTATCAAGAACGACAAGTAAGTTTACTCGGTTGTCTTGAACGCAATCTTATGTAGGTACATGTGCGGAGAGCCACTTGCAAAGGGAAATTTTTTTACTGTTAAGGTAGAACTTAGGCCCCGTTTACACTACGCCCGAGAAATTTGAAATTTATTTCTACGGTTAGGCGTACCGTCCACACTAATCCGTCACGAAAACGGAGCTTCTCGAAAAGGCCCTTCTAAGCGGAGGAATTTGAAAACGCCATCTTTGCGTTTCGGTGTGGACGAAAACATTTTGAAAATGGAGTTTTTCGAGAACGTTGACGTCACGATAATCATGTGATTTCCCTGTACGAGGTTTTCTCAAACACGAATCAAAAATGACAGATTATTGTTGCGTTTTCAAATTTCTCCGGCGTAGTGTGGACAGCACCTTGAAGAACGATTGATTACTATAGCATCACTAACCAACATTTTTTTGTCGCTATTTCAGATGGATGAACATTCTTCAGTACACAGTGGACAGGAGAGCAAATCCAATGAAAAACCTGATCCAGAGTATGCCTAGACTTGCCGAGCTTGTTATGGATAGATGCGTGACTCGCTCAGATCATCCAAGGGGTGACCCTGAGTATTCCGTAACCTTTGACTTCAGTCTTCTTGTAAACCAGGGTAAAGAAGACGGAGATCCGGGCCAACGGGAACGCTTCTTCGGTCCAGCTACTATGGTCGAATGTGAGCGGGAAAGACTCCTAACGCACCCATTGTCTCAAGCTCTCCTTCATTGGAAGTGGTCAACCTTAGGCAAGCCTTTGTTCTGGTTAAACTTTCTGACATACATCTCGTTTGTTATCCTGCTGACTGTATTCGCGGTGACAGAAAGAGTCAAGCAGCGTTTGCTAACTCCCGGCGCGTCAAACGCCACGGAGGAAGACGACAAAATCTTCAACTTCAGAACCAAGTTTTCAACTGGAACCCCTATTTTGATCGTGATCTTCATCTGCATTCACATGATCAAAGAACTGTACCAAATTACAGTTCAAAAGTGGAGATATTTTACTCACTTCACGAATTACACAGAATGGTGTTGTTACCTCACTGCACTGTGCTACGTCGCGCCTTACTTGAAGGGAGAGAACATTTTTCGGAAGACAATGGCGTTGTGGCCCCTTGCAACGACAGTGATTTTGCTGTCCTATACGAATCTGATTTTGTTCCTGCGACGTTTCACGTACTTTGGCATCTACATTTTGATGTTCATTGAAGTAACTAAAACCCTGTTTAGAGTGCTAAACATATTTATTCCGATGATATTTGCCTTCTCCTTGGCCTTTTTTCTGCTACTTAAAGAACAGGTAAGTGAATCTTAAAGACAATAAAATATAAAGCCCGGAAATTTAAAGTATTCACGCTGGCAACGACGAAGGAAACGTCGATTAAATTTAGCCTACGAATTTCGTGATAATCTAGAGTAAGACAGTTTTTCTATCATTGGTAGAGCTCTCTCCGTACTGAATATCTCAGACAGTGTTATTAAAATGCGGCAGAGAAATTTGTAGAATTAACCGCCGGTCGTGGTTTACGTTTTCCAGAAGTACTCAGAATTTGATCATTCAGTCTTACGTTGCTGTTTTACGATGAAAGGCAAAGACCGCAAAGAAATGCACCAATTGAAATTTATGACGCACTGCAAAGCCATTACATGATTATTTCTTAAATATTATTACTGGTGAAATTATAGTAAGCTTAGAATCGAAGCAAAGTCTTGATTAGTCATGTAACAAGCAAAAGTAGAAAAAAAAATTAAATTGTCGTGACAAACTAATCGCTACCGTCATTTCGATCAATCTTGCTGACACCTACCTCATCCAAGAAACTCTTGCGCGAATGAGTTTCTAGAGTTGGGTATCGCTGGTGCGATAAAGACGGAGACCAGTTTAGACACTTTTACACGTGTTTTACTGAAAAGAGAATATCGAAAACCGCTTCTTCCTCAAGCTACTCTCGTATAATCTCACAACGTGATATGCACTGAGAGATGCTTTTTCTCTCCTACTCAGTCTTTTTTCAGCAGTCTGCCGTGGTCTTTTTTCAAGACATTTATAATGATGATAGGCGAGATTGACTACGGCTCCATCATAGTCGAGGCCAAGGACCAGAACAACGAGGAGACTGGGGCCCCTCTTGCTCCTATCCCAGGGTTCTCTGCGGCTATCATCTGCTTGTTCTGTGTGATGGTTTCCGTTATACTCATGAATCTGTTGGTGAGTGTTAGATATAAGTTTTTATACCATGGCATTTAAAATACAACCAATCATGCAGAATACAGCAAAGCCGTTGTGTATTCGACGGTATTACACCCAACCTTCTCATCGTGCGCTGCGCGTACGTCGCATTAACTGTGTTAGTCACTGTATTTTCTATGGCATGGTATATAATAGTTATTCAACGCTCTCTCGTGGTATACCATGGAATATTTTACTTGTCACTTGTATTTTCTTGTGCATACCGAGAAATAACGGGACATTCCATGGTATAGCACTTGAAATCGTTGTATAACTAGTACGTAGTTGACCGTATCATGCCATGGTCGCTCGTTAGACTATTTGACTCGTTGTAAAAAAACCTTCTTTACGCTGACTCTGCACCGGATTTTTCCGCTACCAATAAGCTTATAAAAAGATTCCAAGAATCTGGTGGTACTGTATGTTTGAGTATTCCAAATCAGAACCAATAATTATCGGCAAGTGCTTAATTTCTTCCCTTAGATTGACCGCACGCACATGTATAAACACCAACTTTGAACTACATTACTGGCGGCCCCTGCTAACTATGAAAATTTTAAATTGAAAATTTTGACCAGATCAGATTAACTGACTAGTCAATTGTGGGGAACGTTTCCTCCCTATTTTGCCTATTTTGTTTATATCCGTCTGCACTATCGAAAACCAACTTAAATGCGCATGCGTATAAGTAGCCAAGTGACACCCCTCGAGACTTGAGGGTATAAAATTAAAAGTTTTAATCGGGGCGATGTGTTAGCATTGCGCGTGGGCGAGTTTTCTGAACATTTTCGCAATGAGAATAGGGCCAATAAAAAACATTTTTCTTAAATAACAACTTTGTCAAATATTTCATTATTATTTTTCGTAGGTGGGTTTGGCGGTTGGAGATATTGATAGCATTCAGCGCAACGCCAACTTAAGGAGACTAGCCATGCAGGTTGAATTTGTGGCTGATATTGATCAGCGGTTCCCACTTTGGTTGAGGAGGCATTTCCAGAAATCAGAATTGGTAGTGAAACCACACCAAAAGAACTATTTGATGTTGTAAGTATATATGTAGGCTCATGAAAGCACTCAAGCCTCTCCAACAACCACAAGGGCAGGGAAACTCAGATATACCGCCATAGTGAACGTAGCAATCTGGGCTTGGTTAGGGGTTTATTTGACCCCTAAAAGATACCACGTTGAAACGAACATGACAGCGTTTTTCAGTATTTCTTCGAAGGCAACCCTTAAGATATCTTTACACCTGAAAATGGCAACATTTTTATAAGTAATCAAATGATTTCGAGTACAAATTGGTATCAATAAGTAGAAGTAAATTTTCTAAAGACCGTCAATTTGTGCCCTTTGAAAACTTACGAGTGCTTATTTTCTCCGAATTAAAATGCACGAGAAAAATCAGTTGATAAATTGTTGGTAATATACACGCAATTTAATTTCAACTTTCAACTTTGTTCAACTGTGAAGATACAACAGACAAATCACAAACGCCGTTAACTCGGTGGATTCACGGTATGTTGTAGGTTACTTCATGTTTTTTTTTTTTTTTAAAGTTTAAAATCATTTGTTTCTTTGACAGCATGCGCCGAATACAACTTAAGCTGTTTCCAACAAAAAATATTGTAACCGATGAACGTGGCGATGACGAAGGCGAAGAAGACGAAGGGAGAAACAACGAGATGTCCATTGAGCTTGCCAAGCAACGAGGCCAGATCAGACGTCTCCAGAAGACTGTAGATGATCAGTCCAGACTCCTTCAGGAAATCTCTCATCAGCTGAAACAAACCGCGCGATTACTGGGCACTGCCGAGGGCTCGGTCCAAGAGACTACTCTCTAATTACAAAAACGCGACCTAACGCATTCAGGGCTCACCTTAATTAACTGCGAAAATTCCCTATAACAAGTCTCANTATTGTGTGGTCCGGTGTTTGTAGTCGATATAACGTACGCTCTGATTGGCTATTTAAAATGCGGTATTCGGCCGTAATGCCCACGGGTATTATGAACGTTGCGTTTCTTTATAAAATTTACAACAGCTGCAAAATAAAGGAGTGACAATGAACACTGTGTGTGAGTATTATTTCTCTAACGGGCTTGAATTTCGTGACGAAAAGAACTTAAGTTTGTAGTACACACGACATTGACCAGCTTTTGGCTGCTGGATTCTAAAAACGCTCATTTAATTTTGATTTCCATTCCATTTATAAGCAAGATAAAGGTATTTTTGGACGGAATCAATCTGTATATCTAACTCTGTATATCATTCCCTATATAACTTTGGGCTTTGGAAAAATTATTGAACTGAAATCCCGTGATGCGAGACAGATTTAAAGGTGCATTTATAACCGGAGATTTAACCACCTTTGCCTCAATCATCTTTGGCCATACAATTGCCACATAATAGACTAGTTGTTAACCTCGAACGTTTGGTTTTTAAGAGAAAATTTCAAACATCGGTCTTGCTGCATTGATCTTATTATCGGTCGGTGAAAATAGCACGACTTCATAACTACCTATTAACTTTCGTTTGATAAGAAGTACTTAGAAAACAGTCCTAAGAAAATACGCGCGCTGATTGGTCAAAAATCATCCTGTTTCTATGACTCGATGGAAACACAGAACTAGCACGAGCTGTTGACGTAATGATGACGCGAGCAAAGAGAATTTACATTTTGATAATCAAAATTAACAAGTTGTTTTCCTTTTTTTCGGCGCGTTGTTTTCTAAAGAAATAGACAACATGTTCTCCGTGTTTCTATCGAGTTATAGAAACACTCGTGAAAGTTTGGGAGAACTCGAAAAAGCTGTGGGCGGCTCGTGTTTCCACAGCATTTCTCGTTCCCCCAAAACTTCCACTCGTGTTTTTATAACTCGATAGAAACACGGTACATGTTTTCTATTTCTTAATTAAAACCTCGTTTGCGCTCAGTGAAGATAATTAATATTCTAACCTGTTTAGTGAATTAAGTTGTTAACTTTGTTCATAAACTTTTCCATCAGATTCTTCAACTACTGCTGGAGAAGATGTGCATTGTGGCTCCCAAAGATGTGTTTGGCAGGTGCCCACTGCATGCCGCTGCAGAAAACGGTCACGTGACCTGTGTAGAGCAGCTCTGTGTTTCTGAACCTGGGCATGTTAATGACAGAGATGAACGCGGGCTCACTCCTCTTCACCTGGCAGCACGTGGAAGCCACAGGTGTGTTGCTAGAATGACAAGAAAATGTGCACTGCATCTCAGGGTCTTATTTTTCTCAGCTCTCTTCTCGCGAGGAATGTAGAGTGTTTTGGTAGAGATAATTATCTAGTAACTCCACCCCCCTCCCCCGCCACCATTGAAGGAGTAAAGACTTTCCTTTGTTCAGTCGGCGCGGCGTCTTCCCGTTGGTCAGCCCGACCTCTTTATATACAGCAGATTGAAAATGCTTTCGTTATTAGCGGATTACGAGTAGGTTATTCACATTAAAACAATAAGCGTACGCATGAATTTCTAGGGCGTTTTTAGTCTTATTTTAGTGGAGTTTAATTTCTCTATTTTAGGGCGTTTTTAATAAAACAGTTATTCCACTCACGCTTGTTGGATATGAGATTGTTACACCATCTCATATCCAACGCGCGCTCGTTGAATATTTGTTAAATAGTACATGGTAAAACAAAACCCAAGAAATTTCAGGTAGCTTTCGACAAATTAGTTGAAACCGTTTCAAACTTTATTTGTGCATGCTTACGTCAAACGAGCAATTTGCTTTGCTTCAGTTTGCATTACTTGTTCGTGGGAATTCACTAAATTCAAATTTGCCCAACGCCTCTAAATTCACTTTCGTTAAGTTTACATTGCACGTGCAAATTCATTTAGGCTTATCATTGTCTTTCTTCTGTCGACAGGAAAACGTGTATTTTACTATTGAGCATGGGTGCGAACCCCATTATTCGAGACAGTAACCGCTGGACAGCACTGCACCATTGTGCGGCTGGCGGATGCATCAGCACTGCTGAGATTTTGCTCGTGAATCACTCCATGCGCCTGATGGAAGCAGCTGATCAAGAAGGCAACACTGCCCTTCACGTGGCTGCGAAATACGGTCACGAGGGCATTGTAGAGCTTATTCTATCACGTGGTGGTGACATTAAAGCACGTAATAAGAAGAGGTTGACGTGTTTGGATGTAGCTATTGAGTTTGGCAAGGAAAAGGTCGCCGAGGTTCTTATCAAGAACGACAAGTAAGTTTACTCGGTTGTCTTGAACGCAATCTTATGTAGGTACATGTGCGGAGAGCCACTTGCAAAGGGAAATTTTTTTACTGTTAAGGTAGAACTTAGGCCCCGTTTACACTACGCCCGAGAAATTTGAAATTTATTTCTACGGTTAGGCGTACCGTCCACACTAATCCGTCACGAAAACGGAGCTTCTCGAAAAGGCCCTTCTAAGCGGAGGAATTTGAAAACGCCATCTTTGCGTTTCGGTGTGGACGAAAACATTTTGAAAATGGAGTTTTTCGAGAACGTTGACGTCACGATAATCATGTGATTTCCCTGTACGAGGTTTTCTCAAACACGAATCAAAAATGACAGATTATTGTTGCGTTTTCAAATTTCTCCGGCGTAGTGTGGACAGCACCTTGAAGAACGATTGATTACTATAGCATCACTAACCAACATTTTTTTGTCGCTATTTCAGATGGATGAACATTCTTCAGTACACAGTGGACAGGAGAGCAAATCCAATGAAAAACCTGATCCAGAGTATGCCTAGACTTGCCGAGCTTGTTATGGATAGATGCGTGACTCGCTCAGATCATCCAAGGGGTGACCCTGAGTATTCCGTAACCTTTGACTTCAGTCTTCTTGTAAACCAGGGTAAAGAAGACGGAGATCCGGGCCAACGGGAACGCTTCTTCGGTCCAGCTACTATGGTCGAATGTGAGCGGGAAAGACTCCTAACGCACCCATTGTCTCAAGCTCTCCTTCATTGGAAGTGGTCAACCTTAGGCAAGCCTTTGTTCTGGTTAAACTTTCTGACATACATCTCGTTTGTTATCCTGCTGACTGTATTCGCGGTGACAGAAAGAGTCAAGCAGCGTTTGCTAACTCCCGGCGCGTCAAACGCCACGGAGGAAGACGACAAAATCTTCAACTTCAGAACCAAGTTTTCAACTGGAACCCCTATTTTGATCGTGATCTTCATCTGCATTCACATGATCAAAGAACTGTACCAAATTACAGTTCAAAAGTGGAGATATTTTACTCACTTCACGAATTACACAGAATGGTGTTGTTACCTCACTGCACTGTGCTACGTCGCGCCTTACTTGAAGGGAGAGAACATTTTTCGGAAGACAATGGCGTTGTGGCCCCTTGCAACGACAGTGATTTTGCTGTCCTATACGAATCTGATTTTGTTCCTGCGACGTTTCACGTACTTTGGCATCTACATTTTGATGTTCATTGAAGTAACTAAAACCCTGTTTAGAGTGCTAAACATATTTATTCCGATGATATTTGCCTTCTCCTTGGCCTTTTTTCTGCTACTTAAAGAACAGGTAAGTGAATCTTAAAGACAATAAAATATAAAGCCCGGAAATTTAAAGTATTCACGCTGGCAACGACGAAGGAAACGTCGATTAAATTTAGCCTACGAATTTCGTGATAATCTAGAGTAAGACAGTTTTTCTATCATTGGTAGAGCTCTCTCCGTACTGAATATCTCAGACAGTGTTATTAAAATGCGGCAGAGAAATTTGTAGAATTAACCGCCGGTCGTGGTTTACGTTTTCCAGAAGTACTCAGAATTTGATCATTCAGTCTTACGTTGCTGTTTTACGATGAAAGGCAAAGACCGCAAAGAAATGCACCAATTGAAATTTATGACGCACTGCAAAGCCATTACATGATTATTTCTTAAATATTATTACTGGTGAAATTATAGTAAGCTTAGAATCGAAGCAAAGTCTTGATTAGTCATGTAACAAGCAAAAGTAGAAAAAAAAATTAAATTGTCGTGACAAACTAATCGCTACCGTCATTTCGATCAATCTTGCTGACACCTACCTCATCCAAGAAACTCTTGCGCGAATGAGTTTCTAGAGTTGGGTATCGCTGGTGCGATAAAGACGGAGACCAGTTTAGACACTTTTACACGTGTTTTACTGAAAAGAGAATATCGAAAACCGCTTCTTCCTCAAGCTACTCTCGTATAATCTCACAACGTGATATGCACTGAGAGATGCTTTTTCTCTCCTACTCAGTCTTTTTTCAGCAGTCTGCCGTGGTCTTTTTTCAAGACATTTATAATGATGATAGGCGAGATTGACTACGGCTCCATCATAGTCGAGGCCAAGGACCAGAACAACGAGGAGACTGGGGCCCCTCTTGCTCCTATCCCAGGGTTCTCTGCGGCTATCATCTGCTTGTTCTGTGTGATGGTTTCCGTTATACTCATGAATCTGTTGGTGAGTGTTAGATATAAGTTTTTATACCATGGCATTTAAAATACAACCAATCATGCAGAATACAGCAAAGCCGTTGTGTATTCGACGGTATTACACCCAACCTTCTCATCGTGCGCTGCGCGTACGTCGCATTAACTGTGTTAGTCACTGTATTTTCTATGGCATGGTATATAATAGTTATTCAACGCTCTCTCGTGGTATACCATGGAATATTTTACTTGTCACTTGTATTTTCTTGTGCATACCGAGAAATAACGGGACATTCCATGGTATAGCACTTGAAATCGTTGTATAACTAGTACGTAGTTGACCGTATCATGCCATGGTCGCTCGTTAGACTATTTGACTCGTTGTAAAAAAACCTTCTTTACGCTGACTCTGCACCGGATTTTTCCGCTACCAATAAGCTTATAAAAAGATTCCAAGAATCTGGTGGTACTGTATGTTTGAGTATTCCAAATCAGAACCAATAATTATCGGCAAGTGCTTAATTTCTTCCCTTAGATTGACCGCACGCACATGTATAAACACCAACTTTGAACTACATTACTGGCGGCCCCTGCTAACTATGAAAATTTTAAATTGAAAATTTTGACCAGATCAGATTAACTGACTAGTCAATTGTGGGGAACGTTTCCTCCCTATTTTGCCTATTTTGTTTATATCCGTCTGCACTATCGAAAACCAACTTAAATGCGCATGCGTATAAGTAGCCAAGTGACACCCCTCGAGACTTGAGGGTATAAAATTAAAAGTTTTAATCGGGGCGATGTGTTAGCATTGCGCGTGGGCGAGTTTTCTGAACATTTTCGCAATGAGAATAGGGCCAATAAAAAACATTTTTCTTAAATAACAACTTTGTCAAATATTTCATTATTATTTTTCGTAGGTGGGTTTGGCGGTTGGAGATATTGATAGCATTCAGCGCAACGCCAACTTAAGGAGACTAGCCATGCAGGTTGAATTTGTGGCTGATATTGATCAGCGGTTCCCACTTTGGTTGAGGAGGCATTTCCAGAAATCAGAATTGGTAGTGAAACCACACCAAAAGAACTATTTGATGTTGTAAGTATATATGTAGGCTCATGAAAGCACTCAAGCCTCTCCAACAACCACAAGGGCAGGGAAACTCAGATATACCGCCATAGTGAACGTAGCAATCTGGGCTTGGTTAGGGGTTTATTTGACCCCTAAAAGATACCACGTTGAAACGAACATGACAGCGTTTTTCAGTATTTCTTCGAAGGCAACCCTTAAGATATCTTTACACCTGAAAATGGCAACATTTTTATAAGTAATCAAATGATTTCGAGTACAAATTGGTATCAATAAGTAGAAGTAAATTTTCTAAAGACCGTCAATTTGTGCCCTTTGAAAACTTACGAGTGCTTATTTTCTCCGAATTAAAATGCACGAGAAAAATCAGTTGATAAATTGTTGGTAATATACACGCAATTTAATTTCAACTTTCAACTTTGTTCAACTGTGAAGATACAACAGACAAATCACAAACTCCGTTAACTCGGTGGATTCACGGTATGTTGTAGGTTACTTCATGTTTTTTTTTTTTTTTAAAGTTTAAAATCATTTGTTTCTTTGACAGCATGCGCCGAATACAACTTAAGCTGTTTCCAACAAAAAATATTGTAACCGATGAACGTGGCGATGACGAAGGCGAAGAAGACGAAGGGAGAAACAACGAGATGTCCATTGAGCTTGCCAAGCAACGAGGCCAGATCAGACGTCTCCAGAAGACTGTAGATGATCAGTCCAGACTCCTTCAGGAAATCTCTCATCAGCTGAAACAAACCGCGCGATTACTGGGCACTGCCGAGGGCTCGGTCCAAGAGACTACTCTCTAATTACAAAAACGCGACCTAACGCATTCAGGGCTCACCTTAATTAACTGCGAAAATTCCCTATAACAAGTCTCAACCGTCCTTATCTTAATCAACCTTGTGTTTCATTTAATTAGTGTGTTACTGGCTTCCTACACAGCGGGAAGTCGCCCTCTTTTCACGTCACGACATAAAGAACCTGAGCCATAGAAATCTCGAGCTCATAGTGTAATTGTTTTAGTATAAATTTACAAGTCGTTCAAAAATATATCTAAGCTCTCTTCGCAGACATTTTGAAAACGTAGAGAAGCGGCCGTCATTTTGTTAACAAGCGCACACGGCTTTGCCACTCACTATCCACAACACCACAACAGGCAATTGGCTTCCCTGGGCTTCCTTGCCTTATAGATTGATATTTTGTAAATATATTTATAAATGGCAAGAATAAAACAAACAAACAGAAAGAGTAGAAAGTAGGGTAGTCAATAAGAGAACGGCATTCGTGATAGAACGTTAGCAGATTTATACTAAAAACTATACTTAGTCTATTTATATTGAAATTAAATACACTTTAGTATAAAAACGTTTTCCATGAACATTGAGACTTGGATTGGCCAGACTTTTACATGCTAAGAACTTACCCAAGCTGAGATAAATAACGTTTTTGCTATAAAATAAAGAAACAGAAATCCGAGAAAAAAGAAAATGATTTCTTCCATTGAGCTCTGAATGCAATTCAAGAAAGAACAATTAACCAGTCTCTTTTCAGCCACAACTCGACAGTAAGACGGTGTTTTAAAAGTGAGTTTGATCAAAGCTAAAAAAAAAAAAAAAAAAAAAACCAGTGTGAATGATTATTGTCATTACGTTATTTATGTTATTTGATACTTTTGAGAAAAAAAAAATTAATTTAATTCCTGCCCGCTTTTGTGAAATGAAATTGGAGAATATAAATAAGAGCTAACGCCCAGCTAAGTATTTAAAGTAAAATCTTCACATTGTCTTTCCATTTCAAAATGAATTTCATTTCTAACCTTGAAACTTGGCTCAGTATTATGTCAGAAAAGTTGTGTACGTGATTCCGGAAGTTTAATATCTATCATGTTTATTACATCTCATATTTGTTATTGAGTCTACGGCCTCTACAACGAATCAATTAAAACTTGTTACTCGTTGAAGTAGACTCTGTTGCTACAAGTAAAAGAAAATCGAACTTCGTAAAAACTACGATATTTTCAGTGTGAAACTGAGGTTCATGTAATATATCAAACAAGAAAGACTGTGTTTGACCACATCTCCAAACACCGAGGAGAGAGTTGAAAATACAATCTTGTAGCGGAGTATTTTTGACGATCTTCGAGGTGTTTGGAATTGTGGTCAAACACTGTCTTTAGTGGCAACTCTAAAACATGGAATCCGGAAACCGGAATCCGGAACCAGAAACCAGAATCCGGAATCCAGATATTATGAATGACGATAGAACTAAATCACTTCAGCATTGTCTAAAAAATAAATATAGGGAAAAACTATTTTGTTGTTATTTATTTTCTTTGCTTTACTTCAATCACAAATTGTAATTGTTAAAAAATCGACTAGTTCTGAACAACCCCTAGCTAGTGCTGGTTTTCAGTGTCACGTAATTCAAAATAGATCAAAATAAAAATCAAAACCGGTCAAAGTCCGGAATCTGGGAAATGAAAAGAGGGAAATATGCAAAGACTCTCGCCAAAATTCTGGTCACAGCATTTTTTCTTATGGGGGATATGCGGAGAAATTTTTTACCCAAATTTACAGAGATTTGTATGGAGACGCCATGCTGGTGCCCATCCGTATGGCACCAACATTGCGGCCGGAAATCAACAGAAACATCTGTCACTGAGTTTTGCTACAAAAGCGTGAATTTATCCCTCGAGGAACTCTAAAACATTAAAATAGTACTTTTTC